CAGAATGGGCTGATAATCGATTATCACACTCTGATAATCGATTATCAAACTTCAGAGAGGGCTGACAGTCGATTATCACATTCTGATAATCGACTGTTGCTCAGCTTTGTTACAAAAATCTGCAGAACGATGAATAATCGATTTTCAAGTTGATAATCGATTATCCATCGTCTTCTACCTCGAGCCAACTTGCGGAAATGTCACTTTTACTCATCAAACTTCAATTAAAGTATATAAAAATGTTCTTCAAGGTTCATGGATCATTTTAGCATCATTAATTCATAATTTTAATATCAATTTCATGGTTTATGATTCTTAATTCTTCAAGCATGTCAAACACAAAACTCAACCAAATGACCATTTATGAACGTAGAAACGACCTATATGAACATTCTAGTCATTAGATATATCTAGGGGCTTACCTCGAAGCTTAATGGAGGTTTTGGAAATTTTCCGGCGAAACTTCCGGCGAGTATTTCTCCCAACTTCAGCGACTTCACACCAAATTGACAGCACCACAACACTCCTCACACTTTCATGAACATTTAGGAAGAAGAATGAAGAAGAATGGTGAAGAAATGAGAAGGTTGAGTTTTCTTATATAATGAGAAGGAGAGAAGAAGAAGGTGACTCTGCGATCGGCGTAGTGGGGAAGGAGGCGCCGTCTAAACAGTTCCCTGATTAGGACCTATTTTGGTTTCAGTCGGGTACACTTTTTGGTCCAACTTTCTCCAAATTGAAATCCGTTTGCACCGTTGCGATCAGACAGTCGAGCTCTATCTAACGATATACTTTTCATAGTTATTTGCAATACTTTTTCCGACATCATATTTTTGGGTGTTTGACTTTAACAGAGTCAAAATTGGTTTAATTGACATTTCTCATAAAAGGTTCTCTCATTTAATTCATATCAATTATTCTCATGATTTATTTCAATAAATCATTACAAAGTTCACATCATAACTAATTAATTTATTTATTCTTGATTTGGGTATGTACTCAGGTTCCCAATCAAGACCACACTAATAGTCCACATATTGGATTTATCTCGATTAGACTTATCCAGATTTTGATATTGGATATTAAAAAATATTTCATATCGGCCCAAAGCCCAATAATAATCAAAACAAATTTGTTTAATCGAATAATTATTTAATAATAATTCTAAGGTATGTTTCGGGGCGTTACAATTTGTAACTAGGTTTATAGAATGGAGTTCAACACATGTTGAAGTTATGGCCATCGTTATTGGTATTTAGTGAGGTTGAGAACAAAAGAGATCAAGAACTTGAGATTCAAACATGTGTGTTGTGGTTCTCTTCAAGTGTCATCACACATCGGAAGTTCAAGAGCAAAATAATCCGCATACAAGCTCTTGAGTTGAACTAATTAATCGATTAGATTCAATCTTTTAATGCGATACAACCCAGGTGTGTTATTACACAATCCAATTGTCCATATCTCATCATAAATTCTATCAGGTTCCTAAATGGAATGTGTGAGCATAATTCTATCAGGTTCCTAAATGGAATGTGTGAGCATAATTCACTCAGAGGACATACTCATTACATCATTGATGACATTACAACGCGACAAAAGAGTATACGAGGTCCGAGATAAAAAAACTAGTATAGAAGGATCAAGATCAAAATTTTGTGGCTTACCACCTAGCTAGCATTGGAGTCTTTTAGCATGTAGATTGGATTGAACATGAAGACCTCCCACATGTGATGGAGGACACCATTGCAAATGACGTGATAAACACTATAAAAGTGCGTGGGGGTAATTACTCTTGAGGTGACGAGTTATCATAGGATTTCCCCCCTCCCCAATTGATAAAAAAGAAAACATATTCACGTTATTCTTATTGAGAAAAAATATAGAAATCAAAGCATTTAAATAATCAAAAGTAAAGATTTTTCTTTTTTATATTTTTAAAGACCATACTCATTAAAATTTTACATATGAAAACTAAAGTCTAGAGTTGGATTGATCCTAGTTGGATTATCTGATCCCTAAAAGTTTTTTTAAAGATTAGACTAGTCCAAAGTAATTGTGAAAAAACACAAGACCAATATCATCTTAAATTACACCAGCCTTTTAAAGAGCCCCACGCAGTTCCACAAGTCCAATCCAACTGTTTTGCTCATCTTCGGACCAAGTCATAGACGTATAGTGAACCCCTAGATGAAGACATGTACTAATGTTCTTAAGGTACTAATGCTCATTTACCGTGACAGAGAGTTGTGAGCACTCTACTCTCAAAATAAAATCACTATCTTACCCGTAGGATATACGGATCATACGTGCACCAACGATCAAAAGCGACGTCGAAGCATCGCACACCAGAAAAGTAAAAAAGGATTGCTTGAAAAGAGATCAACTCCCTCACCCAAACTCTTTGAATGTACAAGTATCTACCAATTTAAAAAAGTATGATGAAAATTTTCCCGCCCAAAAGTCTGGGCCGAATGCCAAATAATGGGCATGCTATTTAACATGATGTGGGCTAGTTAGAGTGTAGTAATAAACTAATCAAACACTTTAACGGACCCACTTACCAGTTCAAGGGAAACACATTAATTTTACAGCTTGTCACGTTAAAACTAACAATATTTATTTGTGATAGATTATGGTTATCAACCGATATCCTGTTAAAAAATTTAAAATCTACGGTTTAGTTATACTCTTATCATTGACGACAATTTTATATTAACTTCAGTAATTAGAATATTATTATAAAATATATAATAATAATATAATAATAATTTATACTAATATTAGATTTAATACTGAATATTAATAAGAACATCAAGAATATTTCTGAAATTGTAAAGGAGAAAAAAAAACTAGTTTAACTCGAGCACGCAAGAAAGGAACAAATGATGTAACAATATATTAATTATGCGAAATTTGCACTAAATATGACTAAAACATAAATTATTTCTCAATATAGGACTTGAACTTTTTTATTCCTTAAATAAGACTTAATAATGTCTTGTGAAAGTATCAATGTCCAATTATAGTGGACATTTACTTGAATAATGACTAATGAACAATGACCAAAGGTTCTACATTAGAAAATAAAAACATATGATCATATATTGAGAAAGTCATTATGTTTTAGTCATATTTAGGTAAATTAGTCATTAATTATTAATAATTAATAAAAATAACATTGGAGTTACAAACAACATCTACTATTCCACAATACATCTGCTACTATCTCACGATGCCACCATCTTCTCGTGTTTCCAACATCACTCCACCCTGTTTAGAAATATTATAAATTAAAGCATCATTCATAATCAAACAATTGGTTCATCATAAAGCACAAATATTTACATTACACTCTACAATTATCATTGAAGAGATTGTTATGATAGGACATAATAGCCCATCAAAGGTCAAGGTTGAAATGTAGTCATTCTTAAGAAAGTTGACGACACAATGATGGATTGGGCACTTCGTATGAGGGGTGTGAGGGTGTATCAAGTGCCACCCCGTGATCGAGGAGGAAAGAAGCTACTCCCTCCGTATCTAATTTGATTACAAATTGGGGTTTACAAGGAGAAATATCACTTTTTGAAATTATTTTATTTACAAATTGGTATATCGATAAGAAATAAAAATTACATATTAAAAAATTACATCAAAAGTTCTACAAAATAAGAGGTGACAATAATATTTTATTTTATCAAATATTTAATGAAAACGCGTAAACGATCACATCCCATTTGGTATCGGTTCAATTTCAGTTTGAGATAAAAATTAATTAATTTTGTTTAGAAACACTATAAACAATTCGGTACTACTACGGTCCATTATAAAGATGAACCTAAAATTGAGTTTTATTGAGTTGTTGCTAAAATTTAAAAATTATTTTAGAAAAAATATGATCTATTTCAAGTTATATAATTTTGGGTTAGATGCATAGTATATTCAATCATGGAATGGATTAGATGTATTTTATTTTTTAAAAAAATTTCACCTCCATTTTCATATATATTCTTTAAAAAATAATTTTAGTCAAATATCGTAAATTGCAATATATTAGGAAAACAACAGAGAACTTAGAATTGGACCGAGGAGTATATTTTAAAAATAAGTTGCATCTATGTAACAAGAAATTATAACTTTCGTCCTAATTTAGAGTGTGTTGTTGTTCATAAAGCTGGATTGATGTTAATATCAATTCATTTGAAAATTGGTATAGAATAAAAAATTAAATTTAAAATATACATAAAAAATTTTACAAAACATTATATGACAAAACTATATTATTTTTCAAATGGGTAACATAAATGTATAAAGAATATGATAAAATTTGACCATGTAAAAAGATGAAAGTTACCATTATACCCTTAATGAAATATGGGTGGAGTGTATTAAATGAGGTGGGTGAGGTGTAATAAATAAAGTAAGTGGGAGTAGTTATGGTATTTTAATTGTTAAAAAATGAAATAAGAATATCTATTGTGGACAAAGAAAAAGGGCTATTGAAAAGATCTATGAGGGATGGAGGGAGTAATAAAGAGATCTAAAAATGGGAGCGAAACTTGGGCCATGTATTGGAATTCCGGAAGGTGAGGCCTGGATCCACTATCCAGTGTCCAATTCGATTTGGAGAGGCATTCACGTAATTTCTGACGAGAAATCGGGGCGTATCCGTGAAATGGGCCTAAATTTTCCACCATTATAAACATTAGGGTTTCCTCTGTCAAGCGATCGGCAGCAGCGGAGCAACTCGAAGGGGATTTCAGAGAGGAGAAGAGACAACAGCTGCGGCGGTGCGAAAATGCAGAGGCCTAACAAGACCAGAAAGGAGGAGGTCGTCACCAGAGAGTACACTATCAATCTACATAAACGGTTGCATGGATGGTATTCCCCTATCTGTGTTTGATCTCTCTGTTCATTGTTCAATGATGGCGGTGAATTTGATTTCGGTGGATTAGTTTGATCGTTTTGATGTTTTTTTCTCTGTTCGAGTCGCTTTTAAGTTTAACTGTGCGAGTTCATCCATGGCGTTTGCTTATGGTAAGTCTTGTTGAATTACTGAGGATTTGGAATGTGAATTTGATTAAGTGTTTGTGTTGTGCGAGATTTCAAAATGAACAAATGGAGTAGTTCTTGCACTCTGAAATGAAACATTTGGGGATTGTTTGTTTACAGTTTGAATAAAGTTCAAGTTGCACTTTAATGGGGGTTCGAACTGCACTTTGAATCAAATTGGGATTTTCCAGGAGGATGTTATTCTTTTGAATCTGTTTTACATTGTTTGTTCTTATCTTTCTATCGGGTAGAGAATTTCCTTGTTCGAAGGACATGTTCCAAACCAATAACAAAAAAACTTGTTCCTATTGAAATGACCCAAAAGGAATACACAACAGCATCTGATACTGTATATGACAGCTAGAGACACACACACCATTCTCTACTTGCATGCATTCTATGCACAACTTTTTTAATGGAAAAGGATATATGATTTTGCTACCTATTTGCTAAAGAAGAAGTTCCGAAGAACTATTTCTTCCATTTGTATTTAAATCTTATCATGAAACAAATTTTACATGCACCAAGATCCCAAAAATGTATCTGAACCAATGTTAGCTTCAAGAATAAGTTCTAAATATCCTCCTAAATATTACTCCGTAATTCACTTTTCTGTCTTGGGGGATCTGAGAGTCAATAATGGGATGCCATTATAGGTTGTCTATTCATTTTTACTCCAAGTACTGACAGGCTCAAGTCTTGAAACCCATGTCAGCTTGTATGGTTTTTTAACCATCATTTCACAGATGCTCCCTGTGGAATGATAAGAGTTTCTTGTATTTCTAGTCTAATGTTGTGTCCAAATATGGAAATAAGCATCTTATTTTACACTTTTACCCTTTGTATTTATTTTGAATTTCAAGTGCTCATAATGTACTATGGTATGAAGATAGTATACTTGATTTTGAATGGTAATAGTACTTATAATATTGGAGAAACTTTAAACTCCACAAATCACTTTCAAAGGAATGTATGTATTCCAATTTCCAAGTGAAATTTGGATTTTGGTTGATCCTATGTAGAAGTTATATCCATCTTTCACTCTGTTTCTGTTCCCTTCATGTCTTTGTAATAACCGTATTTATTTATTTGGAGATTTTAGAGGGGAGGGATGAACCAATGAAATTGGTTTTACTAACTTGTTATCTATGTTCTAGCATGCTTTTCTTAGGGCTGACCTTTTTACTTTAGCATTAGACAAGTATTGGAAATACGGAGTAAGCTCCTCTAGATATTCTCCTTGTTTGTCTGACCCAAAATCAAAATAAAGTTCCACTTCCCCTGAAAGAAAAAAATTATGTGTCTCATATTATTTCTTCTTTACATCACTTTTTGTCACACACTTTCATCCTTCTAAACAATCTTGCAATTTCCACTTTAGAACCATTTATTGCGACAGAGGGAGTATATTATTAATTTTATTAATTTTTGGTGGGTTGAGTCGTGTTTTGGTTCCTAAATATTACTCTGTATCTTTCTTGATCACATATGACTCTTTATGGACAAATAAAGTTTCCTATAAAACTCATTTTCTTCTGGAGGTGGGACTCGGGAGTATTTCTATATAAATTATCATTTTTATTTGCCTTTTAACTAAATAAACTAAGCTCCATCAAGCTCTGATCAAATCCTCCACCATAGGGTGGGTGCTACGAATACTTGAATAATCTGGTTTGATGCACTCTCTAGAGTCCTTTTATGTTTATGTGAAGTGCTAGAATAAGTAATTTCATGTGCTTTTTTATTGCAATAAATTTATCAACTACATTCATTTTTATATTTGCGCAGCACTTTCAAGAAGAAGGCCCCTAAGGCCATAAAGGAAATAAGGAAGTTTGCCCAAAAGGCGATGGGAACAAAGGATGTCAGAGTTGACGTGAAGCTGAACAAGCAGATATGGAGTAAAGGAATCCGAAGTGTTCCGAGGAGGGTTAGGGTCCGCATTGCCCGAAGGAGAAACGAAGACGAGGATGCAAAAGAGGAGCTCTACTCTTTGGTCACCGTTGCTGAAATCCCTTCCGAGGGACTCTCAGGTTTGGGCACCACCGTCGTTGAGGACACCGATTAGTTCATCATAAAAACTTTTTCGCCATTAGATTTCAAAATCTAAGGTGCGTTTGTTTCGTATGAATATTCTCATTTTGCATGTCACACTCTAGTTGATCTTTTGTTTTGACTGTTTTTTTGTTCTATGGTTGTGCACTTTTATCCACCTCTTATATTTATATCTTTTTCTTTCAAGTCGGGGTGTTTTGCATTTACTATACTTTGTATGGCAGTGCCTATAATATCGAACCCAGCTCGCCTCATATAGCACTAGCAATGGGTGTAACGCTATGGGCGTCATTGCCCTTTTAACGTGTGAGAGGTGTTAAACACCGCCCCTGAAGCTTCATCCAGGTGTCATCCCCACTCCGTCAAAGCCGTTACAAACTAATAAAAAATCTCACCTATAAATTAACTCGTTTTTAAAGAATAAAACTCACAACTCTTCTTCAGATTAAAAAAAACACACATCTCACTCTTCTTCAAATTAAAAATGTTTTCAAATTTTTTTCATCCCTTTTAACATGAATCTCTTAGTTTTAAATGTTCTTTTGTTTGGTTTGGAGCCAAACAAGCAAGCAAATATAATTTGCTTTCGTGAGAGATAGAATATGATCAAAGCTAAACATAATTTGCTTTAGTTTTTTAATTAATGTGATTTTTTTTAATTGAATGTAATTTTTTTATTTAGTGAATTATTGTTATTTAAATTCAATTAATTAATAGTAAGTTTTATTAATTTAATTTTACAAAACGTGTATTAAAAAATTAAAGAATTAAAATTTGACGTGATAGGGTGAGAAAACTTAAAGTCTCGGGGTTTCAAAGGTATTTCCAGTGCTCTTATTAAAAATCAGAAGAAGAAAAAGTTTTTTAAAACTGAAACAGGTATCGTGAAAGGTGAATAAATAAGGCTTGGGAATTTGAACCTTATGTGCCTTTGAGACTTTCAGTTTTGATTCCTGTTTCGGTTTAATCGGATTTTTGAGAATGTGATTTTTTTAAATCATTTTTCTCTCCTAAATAAAATTCAAGCACACTTCATATTTTATCAAGCATTTTTTCGCACTCTTTAATATTTTTAATTTTTTTTATGTGAAATCAAATTCAAACCCTTATTTTGTGACGAAGCCACGATAAAAAGCAGGGAGTACTTTAGAATTGCACAGCTATTTAAAAGAGAATTTCTTAATTTAATAATCCAGCCGTTCCAATAAAAATGTTATCCTTTGTTCCAAATCAATCTTTTCGGTTTACTATTAAGATTTTTTGATAACTTATGTTTGAATGGATGTATTCATTGATCAATTGATAAATAAGGTATTATTGTCACTTTTTGTTTTGTAAAATTTTTTATATAGTTTTGAATGGTATAATTTAAACTTATTTTTATATTAATTTGTCGTTAAAATTATTTTTAAAAAAAAATGATTTTGTTTATTTTTTTCTCAAAATGACACTTGTGAATAAGACATTTGATTTTGCAACTACTATTTACTCTCATGTAGAATGGTAGTTTTACCATTGCTATTCTCAACTGTTTCAACTAAAACTTTGCAAAAACTATTTTCAATCGTTCATGATTATTTTGCATCGACTATCTTCTACCATATTCAACCAAGGATTCCGTAACATTTGTGAAAATTAAATAGCTATCTTTCACCGTTTTAAGATTCCGCTCATGATTATTTTGCAATAGCTATCCTCAACCATTTACAAAACTCCTCGAGTATACATTATGACACAACAAGCATGAAGAAAAATGCTCAAGGATTTTGAATCTTGACAAAATAACCAATTATGAAGAACATTTCAAGGAACACTTTATACGATGCATTATTTATGCACTGAGAGCTTGTATAGTGATCTTTGGTCCCAAAATATCTTTTTTCTTTTGACTTTTATGAAATTTAAGTTAGGAATATTTTTGTTTTAATTTTTTAAAAATATTTTTGTTGTGATTGGTAAAATTAGAATGTTATAGGTAAATCATTAATGAATAGATATGATGAAATAGGTAGAGTAAAAATTAATAAAGGTAACTATGGGATTATAATAGAAAAGAAAAAGGTATTTTGGGACAAGGAAAATGTAAAAGGAGAGATTTTGGGTTGGAGAAAGAGAAATTTACAAAAATATTGCATCAAAATAGCAATTTGGAGCATTGAAACTAATCACAATAGTTAATTAATTAATTAATTAGGTACTTGTTAAGGAAACTAAAAATGTGGTACTGCCTCCGTCCCATCCGTCCCATATTTAAGGAAAATAAAAAATAGAATTGATTTTTCGAAATTGATATTATTTTTTAGGAGGGGTAATGATAATGAGAAGATAAGGTGAAGAAGAGTGACTTATTTTAAGGGTAGTTTATGTATTTTATTTTTAAAAGTTTACAAAAACAACTAACAGGCAACTTATTTTGGAACGTAGAAAAAAAAGCAAACAGACAATTTAAAATGGGACAGAGGGAGTACTAAATAAGGAATTAGCTACTACTCTTTTAATACACTTTAGGTAAACAATTCTGGGAAAAAAATGTTCAAACGAACAAAACTCAAATTAAAGTGGAATTTTTTGTACTTGAACAACGATGTCGATGACACCAGAATCGCCATCGATTGTGTCAGATATCATCAGAAGTCGAGTAGGTTTTCAGCACATTTAAGTAAACTTGTTAACGCACTTAACAAAAGTGTAGTGTGAACTTGCATACGGAGTATTATTTATCAATACCAAAAAAATAATTTTAGTAAATTAAATGAAGACTAACATTTTTTTCATTAAATTAAAGAAAAATATTTTATTGAGTCACACAAATAGGGAGTAAAAAAAGTGTGAAACTTTTCTATAGAACAAGAGGTATCAAACACATCTAAAACACGGACAATCGTATTGGAAAAATGTCTCTAGATGACATCATATTCCACACATCTTGAATTGCTTTTACGGTAATATCCTTCTTTAGTATTCTATTCATTTTTTATTGATTGTCTATAATTACTTAATGACACTAATTGAAAAATGAATGGATGCGGACATTCATTTTCTAATGTATTACGGAGTATTAAAATTTTATTAGATAGTTAATAAAGACTAAATGTTAGTCCATATTAAAAAGAGTAAATTCCATAATTAATCCTTTATAATATGGGATTTTCATATTTAGTCTCTCATTATCAAATATTACTCTCGTAGTCTTATTATAGGTATCTTTCCACAAATAATTTTTTTTAAATTTCTGTCATATAGGTGTTAATTTTATAGAAATCATCCTAAATAGGACTAAAACATAGAGAAAAGTATCAAAATAGGATTTTTATGTTTTTTTTTCCGAAATATGATTTTGCATTGTGGTAATGTGGCAGTGTACATGTGCAAGTTACTATATTTTCTTGGTAATATATATGACCATGTTTGGTAATGTAAGTTCTATTTCGAGAATAAAAACATGGATGTCCTATTTTGGTACATCTTCAATGTTTTAGTCCTACTTTGGTCTTTCTCCCTTAATTTTAATGCTAAAAGTATAATTTGACATCAACCTTATAATCAGTAACGTATTCTGATATTGGTTAGACGAAACAATATGAATATGATTGTGAGTTAGGATTTCGACGAAAGACCACATCTGTAGACTATGGTTGTAGTAGAAAGCGACTGTAACTCACAAACGTTGCATCAGAAGCGGCCTTTGGAATTGTATATGACAATAAAGATATATTATCATTGTGAAATTACACTTTTAGCTCTCAAATTAACACCAACATGATAGAACATAAAAAAAATTACTCCCTCCGTCCTATAACGATCTTCCCAGAGCACTATTCCAACTTCACGGGAATTTATATTTATTTGTGTTTTTTCATGGCCTATATGATAAAATAAAATATTTTTGTCACTTCTTGTTTTGTTGAACTTTTGGTGTAGTTTTTAAATATGTATGTTTTATTTTTTATTTCTATACCAATATTTAAATAAAATAGATTGAAAAAACTTGAGATTTTTCTTCGTTTTGCGAACCAGGAAGATCATTATAAGACGGAGGGAGTATTTGTGAAGACATACCTATAAAAGAAGGACCATCGCGGTAATATTTGATAATAGAAAATTAAATAGGGAAACTCTCCAATTATAAAGCACCAATTATAGAATTTACTCTATTAAAAATGACATCTTTGTTAAGTGTTAAAGTGTAAATGCACAGTTAAAATAAGTGATTCTGTTTTCCTTTTGAAATAATATTTTGAGTTCATGTTAGCGTTTTAAATATTTTTTAGTGATACAAATTAAATTTAAAAATGTTAAAATTAAACATTGAAAATTGCTAGGGTCTACCCCAATTGTCCCCCACCCCCTCCTTGTCCACAATAATTGGCAAGAGATTCAAAAAAAATTAAAAAAATAAAAATCAAATAGAGATGTGTGGTGGAGAAGCATGTGGTGTACCCATAGCATTGTTCTTAAACATTATTGTTACATACATTCTCAAAATAAAAAAAAAAAGTTAAAGGCTAAAATTATTTATTATCAGTGGGCCACCCTAATAACATGACAAATTGCAAAAAGAGGCAGCCTTTTATTGGCCAGGTAAGCCAGCCACGTGCCATGCCACGTCCGAGTCCAAGACAACTATGCGTGCGATAAGTACCCAATTTTATTTTCCATTTGTGTACAGAGCGACGAGAAATTAGTAGAAAAAACTCGCGAGAAGTGCGCGATGTATTTCGTCCCCCACCTTTCACTCGCACCTAGACGCCAAATATGGCAATTTTATTAATAGTATACGAAGTTTCATTATTATTTCACTTCGATATATAAACTTTAATTACTATCACAAAAATATACAAACTTTTAACATTCTTTCACCGCTGGTCCAATAGGCGGTTTCTAAGTTACTTTCAAATCATTTGGAATCAAATTATAATTTTATAAATTTAAATTTTATGATTTTGACCTCTCTTTTTTCTCTTGGTTCTCCATCCTTTTTCTTCATCTTCTTCAATAGGAATTAAAGTTTATATATACCGAAGTAAAATAATGATAAAAGTTCGTATACCATGAGTGAAATTTACCCAGAGAAAATATATTGCTCCTCCCGTGATATATTATGGTCTTCGTCTCTTTATACTAAATTTTAATTTTATCTTAATGTAGTTATGTTTAAATTTATTTATCATCTGATCTAGTCTGATGTAATTATAATTAGAAAAAATAATAAGTAATA